CATAGCTGATGGTATCAAATACATCCATGATATGCACCCCATTTCGGACTAATTGCAGCCTTCCATGAAGTCCACTGCTGTGCATATGCAGCTGTGACAGGAACACATGGACTCCTGTGGGGGGTAGGACAGCCTTGGAGGCTTCACCAGAAATTTGGAAATGGACAGCATAGTCCTTTTGCTCTGGATCAGCGGGGATTTGGATTGTGCTCTTGATGCCTCCATGATAAACAAGATTTGCAGGTTTTGTGCGAGATTGCATTGTAGGAGGCTCAGTCCAGACCCTTAGCCCAGTCCTGTCAGCATCAACTGGTGATCCCGCTGCATTATCATAATGAACCCGCAATATGTAGTTTCTGCAATTAGGAAGAAAAGTAGTTTGGTTGGTTAGATTCCTGCATTGTAGCATTGTAATTGAAAAATGTCCATGCTTACCCTGGTTCCAACGGAATGTGTGCTCCTGGTGGGGGCTCAATCAATAATGCCCTGGTAGCAGCAAATGACACATGGCAGTAACTAGGCACTCCCTCTCCACAGTCAAATGCTTGACCTTCTATGAGCAATCCAACATTTTCAGCTTCAGAACATCGGAAAAGCGCCTGATGACTAATGCGATCTGGCTGTTTCCCCATGGTGCCTCTGGTTTGACCATTGCCCCAAACAGTTTCAATGCCCATGGACTTTACTGAAATACCCAGAGGCAGTTTGAAAGCAACACAAACAAAAGATGTCACTGTGTCCTGCGGAAGAGAAATGTTAGGTAGCTGAATGTCAACTGCAATCGGCTCCAATGATGTGGTTGAGTTAGGATTAAAGCCATGTGCTTTGACAATGCCCCCCTCGTCTAGCAATACAGTGCCACTTTGGGATTGGCTAGAAAAGCTGGGAGCTGATCCATAGAGTAGATCTTCATCGACAATGAGATTGACTGTGGTGGAAGAGTGTTGTCTAGGGCCATGGTAAGCAATCTCATTACCGTCGTCCAGGTAGCCTGAAGCACAAATGATGGTTTGTTTGTATGCCTCAATTGCAATGTCATCAATATCACAAGAATCCAATGGGCGCTCTATCAAGGCATGGATCCTTCCATTCTCATCTACTTCAGCTCGAAGTAGTTCCACATTCTGAAGAAGGTCTTTTCTTGGCTTGACAAAGTCAGTCGAGATGAGGTCTTCTACCACAAACGAAGGTCGGACGGAGTCATTGTTGTGGATCATTTTGACCAGCATGATATCAGCTCCTTTCATGGAACCAAACTCAGCAATACCAAGGCCTACCCACTCGGCCCCTTCTGTGCTCTTGAACGCCATCTGGAGGGTCATGGCTTCTCTGTCAACCGTCCACTGGACATCACTGCACCCATTTCCATCCATGAGGGCTGACCTCTCCATGGGGGGGAGGAATGTAGTGGCTTGAGCTGTTCCGAGCAGGAGAAAACAATGTAGCGTTGCGGGAAGCATCGCACAGATCTGTCGGAAGATTGAGTTGTTGACCATTGTTGCATGCTCGAACGTGGGACGAAGAAATGTTTGTTATCGCAGAAACCGATCGAGGTTCTCTTCCGCCCATTTGTGTTGCTTGTTTGGTATACGTTCACTCGGGTAAAAAGTAGACTACAAGTAGGCAGGGAAACTTGAGAGGACTGGTATGGTAATAATATAATGTGTACATAAACTGGTTGTGTAGCTTTTTAATTAATAGCGGGACCCCCCGACCGGCTTGAGTGGAAAGTTCGCTGCTCTGTTGCCGATTGCCGAAACTATTGGAACAGTCGTACCGGTACTACCGGTATTCTTTGAAGTGGCAGCCACAGAGATCGAACCACCACCCACCATTCTTTAGTTTTCCACCCTTGCTATTATTCCAGGCAGCATTCCTACAAGGCCTGAGGTACTATTAGTATCTGGCAATACCAGGTACATGTAGACTTACAGGGGTACTAGTAATCTTCCGTGGTGGTGTGTGGGGATTGGATCCAATGGTACCAGCCTCCTGTGATAGCCATGATTGAAGCGGGACTCCACGTGTTGACACTTGTGCAGGTAGGAACAGCCATACGAGTTGGCGGGAGCGTATCTCATCCAGCCCAGCCACGTGGTTGATTCTTGCTTCTGGTGACACATGATTCGATTCTTCTCCTATACAAGGTCAGGTTATACCGTACTGGAACAGCCTAACGTGGTGGTTGTGTTGCATTATTCTGTTGCCAGTTGATCGTATAGTCTTGGATCGATTGATCTAAAATGATAAGCCAGCGGAGCTGTGTAACCTCGGCAGAAAGGTTTCAGTGTACATAGAAGCAGGGTATTAGCTAGCTAGCTAGAAGCAGATACATGTAGTGCTTAGGTAGTGCTAGGGCACTGTCTACCGGAGGTGACTAAACGCGCGCTTAAAGATTGTTTAAGACTGGTATTTAATCGTGTGTTTAGTCGAAAAGCTTTAAGATCGTCAGTGTCTACCGTGTTTCGACTAACCATGCACACTAACGGTTAGTCGTGAGTTTTGTCGAAAATTTTAGACTGATCAGTATCTACCGAAACACGCCTAACGGTTCGACTAAAATCCGTCCACTCGCTCGCTGGAAGGAAAATCACAACCTCTCTCATTCAGTCATTATTCCTGTTGTTGTTGTGCTCTATTCCACTCCCTTTGTTGTTGCTTTTATCCATCAAATTGTTCCACTGTAATCGTCGTTTCATGGCAATTTCTACCGACTTTGGCTGTTGAGACCATTCAATCTCAGCTGGAACTTCGTCTGTATCTTTAGCTTGAATTGCTGCTAAATCCGATGGACTATCGACAACTTGTCTACCGACAACTGCATTGTCTGCCTTGTACAAGGCTCGAACATCTCCATCCATAACTCGATCAGCCACGCACATGTTGTGTAGGAGAAAACATGAATTGACCCTGTTTCCGATCAATTCCAAATCAAGTTCCAGAAATGGCCGGCACATGTACTGGAACTTACATTGCAACACTCCGTAAAGTCTTTCGATATCCTTCCGTACCGCTTCCTGCCAAGCAGAAAACTGCTTCTCCCAATCAAGGATTGGATCGGACAAAGTCTTGACAAAACGAGAAAATTGGGGATATATACTGTCAACCAAAATGAAGAAGGCGTTGAATTCTTCACCCGAGATCGTGAAAGGTACGGCTCCACTTTCTGTTTCAAGCTGTTCCATCGTGCCATTCAATATGTTTTCTTGGATGGGAGACATGTCAAATATCGTAATGTCATTGAGTGTACCGGCATATCCAAAGGCACCCCACCAAAGAAATAGATTATGGTCTCCCAAGCCTTCAAAGGCAAGCGTGGGAATTTTCTTGGAGCCCTTGTAGGCACCTTGCCAACCAACTGGACAATTCTTCCATGCATTGTGCATGCAATCAAGGGATCCAAGCATCCCGGGAACACCGTGGACTTGCTGGTGTAAATCTGAAATTGCTTTCAAGTCTGCGGCAGTGGGCATTCGTAGGTATTCTTCTTGATACAACTGCCGCATAACGATGTCAAAGTACTTGCGGCAATCTCTGGCATGAGTTAGGGACATTTGAAAATAATCCCGAAATGCATTGAAAATAATCCTGAAATGCTTCCGAACTGCTGCTAGAGGAATCCATAGAGATGCCGAATAGTAAAAGTGAGGATAATAAGTGGTAGAGATACAAATAACAAGAGGCAAGTAGTTGGTTGGTTGGTTGGCTTGTTGCTGCTGTTGCTGCTGTTGCTGCTGTTGCTGCTGTTGCTGCTGTTGCTGCTGTTGCTGCTGCTGCTGCTGCTGCTGCTGCTGCTTAAAAGACTGTTAGTCAAGCCTTTTGTGTTGGTGAGCAATTTTCACTAAAGAGCCTCCCGTTAGTCAAAAACGACGACCTTTGACTAACGAGTTTAGTCGAAAATAGCTTTAGTAGCATGGGTAGACACTGCCGAAAATACTAAACTTTCGACTAAACGACGATTTTTGGTTTAAGAGCGCCTTTAGTAGCTTCGGTAGACAGTGCCCTTAACTTGCGCTTAAATAGCTAGAAGCAGATCCCCTAGCTAGAAGCAGATTCCCATAGCAAGCTAGAAGCAGATACCCCAAGCTAGCTAGAATACTAGTTAGATAGCTTTTGCTAGCTTTCGAGTTTTTCCTGGTAGAAGCAGATCCGCCTACGAGCAGCTTCGATTTTATTAATTCAAACGCGTGCCGGCCTTTCTGCTACAGTTCTACGAGAGCTCGTGTAGAAGTGTACTGAAAAGAGTGGCGCGCGTTTGAATCAATAAAATCGAAGCTGCCTGTACTAGGATGCATGTAAATAGCTTTAGCACCATCCCATGATACTTATTTAGTTTTTGCTGACTTATTTGTATTCTAACCCTACCCTTATACCTGCAGGGACCACCGTAGCAGGAAAAACAATTAAAGGGGTTGAGGGCTCTGGCAGCAAGACTGCCGAGGTAAAAATTCCCCAAGTCTGGTGCCGATCGATCATCTTGGGTAATCCGAATATCCAAAATAATGACTTGCACTCTTGACGAGGGCCTCCTGTTGTGCTAAAAGACCAACTGATAGCTTCCTCGAGCTCCAGTTTTCATTGGCATGAACATCATGGTCGCGAATCTCACAGTGTACGTGAATCTTGGAAGAGATAGAGTCAATTGACAAATCGTCTTCCGCAGGAATAAAGAGGTTGTTAGTACAGGAATGGCTCTGCCTAGCAGTCACTTCCATAGCGTAGCCGCGAGTTGCTCGCCATACCGGTATCTTCCAGAAATCGTTAAAAAACGGTGATCCGAATATCCAAAATGAAGCCAGAAGGAGCAGCCAAGCAAGGCCCACAGCCAAGGTTGACAAGGAAAAGTGGCCAGGCAGGTGGTGGGAGTTTGCCCCAGCCATGTGCCTATGGAACCCATTGCCCATTGGTCACGTCAAAGTGGTTTGCATGTTGGGCCGATTGCTTATTATTCGAAGACGGTACAGTATACTGTAGCTGCTGTATCAGGTCAGGTGAGCCATGATACTGAGGGAAAATCCAAAACAGTTCTGACAGGAGGCTGGTATGTCGAAAATGGATTTTTCGTAGCCACGGTGAGCGATGACTGGATCAATCGGTTGATCGTTCTTCGGCTCTAGCGGAACCGCCGCTGGTTGCTGCCGGTGGCACCGACGATGGCGTTGTTGATGTCGTGTAGAGGAAGAGAGTTTAGATAGTAGTTGAGCTCTTTAACCTATTGTTTATCCACTAGATAGAGGAGTAGCGCCTTGGCTCCATGGTGGTCATTACATGTAGATACCTGGTACCACCGGCAGCCACTGCTTTGCCTAGCCTCGCCCCCCTCGATCCTTAAGTATATATGGCATGCTTGCCCCCCAAGCCAAGATTCTCTACAACGGCTTGCTTCTGCTACTGCCTCCAAAACTCAGTTTTCCTACTCTCAATGATGTTTTTCCTGCAGACCGGTATCTCCATTGCCCTTGTGAAAGCTACCCATTTATGTCTCCGTGATCTCGCAAGCCAAACCATTTGGCCCCCCGTAATGGTCCTCACTTTCTGCCCCTGATCCCACCGAACCTAGTCCAGAATGTCGACTGTTCTTTGCTTAAGCCTGGCCCCGGCTGGCTTCCGTAGATAATTTCCCTACTCTAAACCCCCCATGTGAGTTTATCTATTTAGTATTTATTTCTACGGTAGGTATACGGGAATGCTGCAAGCCTTTTAATATATAAGCCTGCAGTTGATGCCATTGCAATTGACTCGGAACGCCATGGAAAAAAAAATAATAAAATAAGCCAGCGGAGCTGTGTAACCTCGGCAGAAAGGTTTCAGTGCAGAAGCAGATACCCCTATAGCTAGCTAACTAGAAGCAGACACCTCTAGTGCTTAACTTGTGCTTAGCTAGCTAGAAGCAAATCCCCCCTAGCTAGCTAGAAGCAGATTCCCATAGCAAGCTAGAAGCAGACACCCCTAGCTAGCTAGAATACTAGTTATATAGCTTTCGCTGGCTTTATAGTTTTTCCTGGTAGAAGCAGATCCCCCTACTAGGATGGATGTAAATTGCTTTAGCTGGTTTGCACCATCCTAGCTAGGATACTTACTTAGTTTTTGCTGACTTATTTGTATTCTAACCCTACCCTTATACCTGCAGGGACCACCGTAGCAGGAAAAACAATTAAAGGGGTTGAGGGCTCTGGCAGCAAGTCTGCCGAGGTAAACTGAACGTCTAATAACGGATTCAGACGAGATAGACCACCTATAGCGGATGCGTGCGCGGTAGGGAACGAAAGCTTCCATTTCTTCACAATTTTCTACCCTGCATCCACAGAAGGGTTGGCTATACCTGTAGATTAAACAGAAACGTCATCTGACTCAACGATATCACAATTTCCCGCTGGGCTTGAATCAACACTTCCTAGAGAAAAGTTTTCATTCTCTGGTGAGTTTGTAATGCTTGGAATCCCTTTGATTTCTCCCTTTTGATTGTACTTGTAGGCAAGGGCAAACATGACTCTTCCTAGGAATACTTGTGCCAGTGTAAGCAGAACCAAAAGAAATGACATGACGCCTGTGAAAACATCAACATTAAAAATGCTTGAAGGCTCCAGCCACTTGGAAAAACTCCAGCTTCCAATCTCCCATGAGACATCAACCCCTTGATAAGAAATGGCAAGTATGTAGGCAAACAGGGCAATCAGTATGGACTTGGTGATGGCATTGAACACTGCTGCAAAGTAACACATCTTGGGCCACCACCAGTGTCTGGCAAAGCCTAGATTCTTGAGTAGCAGGGCAAGGAACATGGGCTGTTCTGTGGCAACTGTCAGTCCAAGTGTTGCCCCAAGCTTGATGGTTGCTTTTGGAGAGAGGGCTTTGATTCCAGCTGCAAAGCACATTACTGCCATGATGATAGCAACTGCATGATGCAGTACCAAGTCAAATCTTGGCTTGAGCTTGTAGAAGAGTTCTGCAAGGTAAAGGAATGTTAGCCCAACTCCGATGGTGCGTGTGGCCGTGTACAGATCAGCATGGACTGCATCAATTGACTGGTCATTTGCCATGAGAGAGACATAATCTTGCAATAAAAAGGGGAGAGCCACTGTGCCATACAGTAGCTCAAGTATGTAGCAGACTGTGTTGCGCTTGGTCCGTTCACATGTCATGGACTTAACTGCAGGCCACTGTGAGGACACCAAACCAACAAAAATGAGTAAAAGAATCAGATATAAGGCAATATTGATGCCAGGATCTGAAAGGCGGATCTCAGATGCATGCAACATGTCATGAACACCCAGTGCACAGAGATCTGTGCGATGGTCCTGAAGAGGCTTGAATTCTCTTGTGTCCTTGTATGTGGGAGCGTAGATGGCTTCCTCGGTTCTATTGTCATTAAAACCGAGGCCTTGACCAACATAGGCATTCGCAAAGGCTTGATCAGCTGGAGTGGCAATTCCGAGGGCGCGGTCATACCCAGGAACAGGTGGCGTCATTGCAAGAAAAACTGTGCACATCTCTTCATCATTGTCTGATTGTCCACCATAGATGGGCTTGTCCTTGTGTGGTTCATAGATACACGTTATGATGAGAGCATCGCCTGGTAGATACTTCCACATCTTGAGCTTTGGCTGTTGACTGTTGAAGTCAAAGCTCAACGTATCAAACACATCCATCACATGCACTCCATCTCTGATTAGCTGGAGTCGGCCTCGAACTCCTTTCTTGTGCATGTGCAACATGGCTGAAAACACATCAACTCCACCAGCTGGAAGAAGGGCTTGTGTAGCTTCAGCAGGAATCTGGAAGTGAATGGCATACTCCTTTTGCTCTGGATCAGCTGGGATGTGTATGGTATTTAGAAAGGCACCATGACCAACATTCTTAGCTGGCTTGCTGCGGGATGGCAGACTGGGTGGCTCAGCCCAAACCCTCACCCCAGCCCTGTCATCCACAATTGGCATGCCAGCTGTATTCTCATAGTGAACCTGCAGAATGTATGTTCTGGTTGCAAAGAGTATTCGATTTGAGGATTGCTAGTACAAAAAACATCAGGAGGGAAAACATGTGCTCCTAGACTTACGAAGGATCCAGTGGCACGTGAACTCCAGGTGGGAACTGAATCAAGGGTGCCTTGGCATTGCCTATCACCAAGGGACACAGGGGCATTTCATCCTCACAGCTATATGCTTGGCCTTCCACATTAGACCCTTCCTCTAGAAATCCATCACATTGTAGGAGAACTTGGTGGTGAATGTGGTCTGGCTGCTTTTGTGATGCATCCCTGACTTGTCCATCACCCCAAACAGTCTCAACAGCAATTGACCTGAGTGGAATACCCGGATGCAGTTTGAAAGCAACACAAACAAAAGATGTCACTTTGTCCTGCGGAAGAGAAATGTTAGGTAGCTGAATGTCAACTGCAATCGGCTCCGATGATGTGGTTGAGTTAGGATTAAAGCCATGTGCTTTGACAATGCCCCCCTCGTCTAGCAATACAGTGCCACTTTGGGATTGGCTAGAAAAGCTGGGAGCTGATCCATAGAGTAGATCTTCATCGACAATGAGATTGACTGTGGTGGAAGAGTGTTGTCTAGGGCCATGGTAAGCAATCTCATTACCGTCGTCCAGGTAGCCTGAAGCACAAATGATGGTTTGCTTGTATGCCTCAATTGCAATGTCATCAATATCACAAGAATCCAATGGGCGCTCTACCAAGGCATGGATCCTTCCATTCTCATCTACTTCAGCTCGAAGTAGTTCCACATTCTGAAGAAGGTCTTTTCTTGGCTTGACAAAGTCAGTCGAGATGAGGTCTTCTACCACAAAAGAAGGTTCGACGGAGTCATTGTTGTGGATCATTTTGACCAGCATGATGTCGGCTCCTTTCATGGAACCAAACTCAGCAATACCAAGTCCTACCCACTCGGCCCCTTCTGTGCTCTTGAATGCCATCTGGAGGGTCATGGCTTCTCTGTCAACCGTCCACTGGACATGACTGCACCCATTTCCATCCATGGGTGTTGACCTCTCCATGGGGGGGAAGAAGGCATGGGTGCTTGCCAACAGGAGAAACCACACAGTTAATATTTTTGGATGATGCATCGTAGGTTCTAGTCTGTTACTTTGAGGAATATGATCTGTTTGCAAGTAGAGCTGCGATCGGTTCGAGGCAAAACTATCTGTTGACAAGACACCGCTGGTATGCAGCCGTGCAATAGTGGCCTGTTCGGGGCTGATGGCTCAACTACTGTCTGCACGTTCGCTGTCGGTCCAAAAACGCTTAAAAAGTGAAACCGCGGTACGAAGATTTAAGAGAGGGTCGTGAGCTGTGGGTGAAATTTGCACAGCTGCAAGCAACACAACTATCTCGAGCAGATATTTTCTTTGTTTCCGAGCACTCTTGGTCGTGCACGAGCTTCGCCTCCTCGAGGCTTTCCAATTCAGTGACTAGCTAGTTCTGTTGTTTATTGTTCTTCCATGATGGTTGGGATGGGAGCAGCCTGAGGAATGAATCTAACTAGGATCAAGGCGACCTTGCTGCATGCCGATAGCCTAGCTAGCTCTAGCTGGCTAGTACACCACCAGGCCCGTTCGTTCCTGTTGTCGCTGATGATGATCGAGTTGGTTTCGGAGGCAGTCCTTTCGGACCACACGAACAACCGGTATGGTTTATGCATGGTATGCATGGTTATTATAGCCACCGTGGAACCTTCCATCATGTGACTGCGGTCCCTTCAATAAACTGGGTCTGCTGGGTACTTGCTTGTAGCCAAGTATATAAGTGGTATGTGCCGGTTACGATCATAGGCTTCACTTGGTCTGCATCATCGACTCCTTTTTGCTTAAGCCTGGCCCTCGCTGGCTTCCGTAGATAATCTAGTCTAACTACTCTAAACCCCCCTTCATAGTTCTGTTGCTTCGGTGCTTGCCCGGGTATGAAAATGTAGGTAGATACAATGTCAATGTCCATCCCTCACCTGTTGCTTGTATACTTGGCTGGTGAGCAATGTCTTGGCCGCACTATAATACAGGGCCATGCATGTGCATCGTTCCACTTTGTTCTTTGTTTGGAGCTCCAACATTATTCTTTCGTCTCAAGGTTCACTCACGTTGGTGGGCGTGAACTCGGGAGGAGGTCATGCAGTTTTTTGACCACACGGTTAACCGGTTGCGTGTGCAGCAGAGCTCTGGTTTGGTTCCATCGTTCGTAGCCCGTCTACAAGGTCTGGTTTCCTGTAAGGCTGCAGTTCATTAGATACTGTGGGTCGACTTGCTTGTAGCCAAGTGAGGTGTGCATGCTACGATGGTACCCTCTACTTGGTCCGCATCATCAAACATGTGGTATACTGTTAATTAACGGGGGTTTAGACTACAAATTGGAATATCTGCGAAGCTGAGAACTTTAGTGTGCTATGTGATGCAGATTATTGTTGTATCCACAAGATCGATGCCCTCTTGATTGGTCCCTAACTGCCTGGTGTACAGGCGGATGCTGATGATTGAGTGATACTTGGGAGAATCCCGCAGATCAATGGTAAAGACAACTGTGGTTGTTTCGCCAGGATGGATCACCCGCCCGTCTGCATCAGGGTCCAATACGGAGGGCGGAATGTCATAATTTTCCTTGTTTGGACCCTGTGTCCACACCTGAAACTCGTTGGACATGACGGTTAAGGGCCCGTCGCGAATGTTTTTGAAGTCTGCAGTGACTTGCACCGCCCGAATGTTTTCATAGGAAGGATCACTGGTAAACACACCTTGTTGAGGTAGAAACTGTGTGGGGCACACCGGCGGAGCTGGTTGTGACGGCATCACTTCATTGAAGCATGTGATTTGGGCCGACACGAGAGCCAACAGTAAGGGGTCAAAGCCTCCTGGTTTGGTATAGACTCTCATAAATATGGCGTTGTCATCCTCTGGTGCAAGGCTAAGATCGATTGTCACTGCTAGTTCGACTGTGGCCCCCGACTCGACAACGACTTCATTGTCACCAAAGCTGCCTTCCAACGATGTCGGGGGCACATAAGGTCTGTCGTTTTGTTCCAGGTTCTTGGTCCATATCTGGAAGAACTCTGGCAGCACTCTTTGGCTCTCGTTTGATGTGTTGTTATAAAGGCCAACAATACGAACCTTTTGAAGATTCCGGAAGGGATCGCTGGTGTACCAAAACTCTCCTGCCAAAAATCCCAGTGGGCATAACGGTTGGGGTGTTTCCGTATTGTTGTTATTGTTGTTGTCGTCCATTATATCAAGCCATGGTGGCAATGTGCCTGTCAACTCCATGTATTCATCGATGCAAAACTCATCGCCATAGCCAAGATCTTGCTGGAAGTAGCATGGTTCACAATATAAGACGCAGGCACCAAATACCAATGGATCCTGCCCCTCTTCTTGACAGAGCCGCGGACAACGATTTCGATCCACTTCTTCCAGTAAAACACGAGAGCTTTGGAATGTATTCGTTGTTGTTGTTTGTTGTTGCTCGTGCGCCAGCATTCGCAGTGTCCTGACATTTGCACGGGTTGCGCGAGCAAGAAGTAGAAGCACAATCATTGCAACGTTGCCCAACAATGACCAACAACGGAATGGCATCATGAATCAGTTGGCTCCGGTAGCTGCAGCGCGAGCTGAAAAAATCGTAGCAGGCCTGTGTCATTTTATGAAATACTCCATTTCTGTACACTAGCTATAGAGCTAGGACGTAGGTACTAACTAAGCTCCGAGTTGAACAAAGCTGTAGAAGAAACAGGGCTCAGACACTCTGTCATTGTTCAAAATTGTCCGCGAACGCCATAAAACGTTGTCCATTGCTGGTTGCGACTGCTATTGCTGCTTGATCGAGCATGCAGCTGTGCTTGAAATCACGGGCGGATGTTATTGTTGCAGCATGTTTCAGTACCCTAACCCTAAACATTGGTCTACGGATATCCTGCAGTTTGACAGAAAATTATGGCTCCACAGAAAATTATGGCTCCCCGGTACCACACTAGAATGGTCTTCAACTTAAGCTTATCTGAGGGTCTCAAAGCAAGGGTAGAAGTATGCATACGGGAGAGAGCTCTGAAGGGCTGAAAGGAGCCTTTTGGCTGCAGCTGGGCTCTTTTAAATTTGTTATCTCGGTTCTTCGTTGTCGTCATCTCGAACAGATCGCCATATTACACGATAAGAAGAGCGAGTTTCTTTGAGAGTCGGAAGCGTTGCCGAATTCGGTTGTCGCTCTGTCATCTCTACTGTTGTCTCGACATGTTTCTTCTGCCTGGAGTATAGTGCCATGCATGCCAGCAGGAAAAACAACGGCGAAGCGACTGTTGTCTGTCATCTCTGATTATCTTCACGATCGAGAGGAGGTGGTCTCCCCTTTGCTCCACGATGAGAAGGACGGCGACGGCAACGACGATGTGTCGCTATTTATATGGTTGTGGCTTGGAGTCGACTTCTGCGGCTGGATGGACATACTGTACCAACTGGAAAACAACGGCGAAGCCGAATCTTGACGACGACGAGATCGAGTGTGAGAGTTGCACCTGGCTTTCTTGGTGGTGATGTGCGTGCGGAGCTAATCGGTTCATTCTGTTACGCATGCCGGCTGGTTCACTGATCCACTTGGGAAAGTCAGTTGCTCGTCGCCATGCAGCTGTCTCGATTTAGAGCACCATTGCCGCTGTTGATGAAGTCGGCAGTGATTTCGGACCCATTATAGCTTTTATTCCAGTCCCCTAAAACCTACAACTTCACATGAACAGTTTTGGAGGCGGTACCACCACTGCAGGCTCATTCGTTGCTACCTTTTGCCCTGCTCCCCTCTGTTTCTCCCTGCGATTTCCCACCACCGATGCCCGGTCTTGCCCAGCTTAGCCCCCCTCGCAGCCCCTCGCAGCCCCTCGCTCCTTAACAAGCCGTTGTCACTAGCTAGAATTGTTGGATCTTTATCTTACTACACTACGAGCTAGTGAGAGTATGGGCCCATGTGGCTTTGAAGGGCTTTCCTCTTTGGGTATGGGTATACGAACAACGCAAAGAGAATCATCGTCCACGAACAGATTCTCATATACCGGTAGCAAACACCATGAGGAGATGGCAGCATATATAGTTGCTTGGTTTTCGCCAACTTGTGAGTCAGATTGGCAGAAGCAAATGTGCAAGGCCCCACATGGAAGGAGACGATCTGCCTCTTTGTAGTGTCAAGCCGAGTGACAGTCGCTCATGCGAGCATCGGCTCATGTCCAATGAAAGAGCTCCTTCTCCACTTTGATTTCTTCATGGAGACATCCAGGCAGCTTGTAAAACGGTCACAGTAACACTTGCATAATCTCCACCCAAAAGGTGGGTTGCTTTCACGATTGTCGCCTTGAAAGGTGAAAGAATCCATTCAAACTACTTCACTTAGATATTTTTTAAATGCGCGCTCTCTCCTTGCATGTCCTCCTTCACAAGTAAAAGAAAGTGCCTCCACCATTCGACTGTAGTGAAACACATCACAGCTCACTCAAAAGCCATGCAGGCAGTCAACGAACCAGGCTAGAAGTGATGAACAAAACTGACTGATTCAAGCAGGTTCAAGCACCAGACTCCTCCACCATCTTCACTCCTTCCTCCAGGTCAGCCGTCGTGGAGAAGCTCTCTCTCATCACTTGCCATTTTCTCGGAGCAACAATCACATTGCAAGTATCAGATCCAGACCAGCCCGCAGCATCTGTGGCTTTCACTGCAACCTCATAGACACGGCCGCCGATGGGACTCACTTGGCAGAAGCCAGCCTTCTGGGTGTTGGAGCAGGTAGCTTGGTTTAAAAAGAGCTTTGGGAATGTTTGGGTGGTGTTCTTCATCTTGGTCAGAGAGAGGATGACACTGGACCCAGTCATGTCAAGTTCATTGCTCATGATGGTCACTTCCACATGTACTTTGTCAGAACAGGAATCCTCCACCTGGAGGAATAACCCAGCATCAAAGAATTCATGCATTTCTTCCACGTAGAGCATCTTTTTGTCCTGTGCAGTTGAAGCCTGGAAGCCACAGCTAATCGCTGGAGGCTTGGTGTCCACAGGGACTGAGAACTCTTGAATCTTACCAACAATAGACACATCATTGCACCTGTGGATAGGAGCAGCTGATATAACAGCTTGACATTCACTGATTCCCTTGACAGTCAAGTTAAGCGCCAGATCCTCCTCTGCAGCACAATCATCCGAAACTGACAAAACTCCACGTAGAGAGGCAACTGCCTTCTCAGCAGAACCGAAGACCTCACTTTCAACATGCTTTGTCTCTCCATCGTCTGTCAACTTCAGCAGAGATTTGTGGATAACCACAGAAGGCGGGACTGGTGGTCGGTGGTTAACAAAGACAACTTAGTACCAACTTGACATCATCCAATACATTGCTCCAAGTGAGATCTTACATCTGTCTTCTTCACAATTGTCAATCACTCCATCCCCATCTTGGTCATTGCCATCACAACCAGCATTTTGGGCAGTAGAGGGGCTCACATCCATCAAAGCACGCCTGCCCTCGCAAGTCTCTTCAAGGGTTGAAAGCTTTGACATGATCATGTTGACTTTGCCGTTGCTGTCATCATCATCATTGCCCAGGAATACTACCAACGAAGCAACAAGATCTCCAAGACCTTCCAGATTGTTGTCAACCTTGGCCACAGCTTCAAAGGATGAGCGTACGCCTTCATACCTAGAGTCAGCAACCATTATTATGAAAGAAAGTCAGGAAAGTCACAGGTGAACCCTAAATATATTCACCAGTTGACTTACATTCTCTTGTTGTTCTTGTGTTGAACTTGCAGGATTTCCCACGCCTCAATGGGCCCAACATTGCCAATTTCGGTTGTTTCGACAATCGAAAACTCCCAAATTTCGTAAGCAAAGTTCATGATGATCAAAACAATATGAACAACCAAAAAGCCACCATTCTGAATGTGAACAGCAGATGGTAAGTTCAAGCTTCTCTAGTGTGTGTTACACATGCAACAGTATCTTACTTTGAGTGCCACGCAAGCCTCATTCTGTAGGAGATTCAGAAACACTGTGATGAGCTTCGCGTCAGCCACAAAGGACATACAATGAAATTGCACCTACCGCTCCGGGGGTGGAAGGACACTGAAATTCTGCAGTTAGATCAGCTAGACTTTGAAAACCAGTCCTTACTAACCCGAAGGCAAACAAAAGACCACCTGAAACTCCAGCATCTTGTACCAAGTTTGTTTTCGACCATTCTGGTGTCAAGTCAAACAATTATGAGGAACAAATATCACCCTAGGGGATCACCTAGTGAGAGACTTTGAGGGGAAAACTCACTTGTGTCAACATTGAACAGCTCATCCCATTCCGCGACATTGATGTTGCTGTGGGTGTAGTCGTTGGCATTTGATTGATAGTTGCTGTTATAGCCACCTCCACCCATGTTGCCAGGAAGGTCAGCAGGCGTTCCTTGAGAGTAGAACTCATCCAGAAACCCAAAATCTTTGGTATTGTGAAGCTGTACAGCAAATCTAAAAGTCAGAATGGTAGGTTGGCTGCTCTAAAGCAAGGACAGATAAAATACTTGCCTGCTTGATATTCTCACAGACGTCATCGTCATTCTGTCGGCGCAGCAGAAACAAAAATGAGACAAAGCATCTTTGACCAGTTGGAGCACCAGAAAACGACAACAAATCACACCTTGTAGAGAGGATCATAGCCGAAATATTCCCGGGAACGACCACAAGACTCAAAATCGTTTTCGTTTTCGACAATACCCGGTTCCAAGTAGACTTTGTATGAAGTCTTGTTAGCATTCTCAGCTCCAGTAATCTCTTGATCAACACAGTCTTTCAGCACTGAGCAATCTGTTGCAGTTGGACACCAGGTACCTAGAGTTGGAGAGAGCAGCAAAGAAATAGTTTAGTGGCGATCATCAATTGACTGAATCGTTTCAAGATGGGCACAAAAAACTTGCCACCAGCAGCTGAACAACTTTCTTCACTGAGCCCACTGAAAAAGGGAGCCCTCTGGTTGCAGGTCATTGAACAGTCGAACTGGCCAGAGACAAGAAATATTTTAGGCACATTTATAGACAAGGAAGGATACTACTCATGAGACTTCGAGAAACTTTGCATACCTCTCTCCCCCTAGTAGACCAATCAAAACATTGCTGATCAATTAGAGCTTGACAGCTTGAAGAATCTTTCCATGCAAGACTTCTTACCATTCGCCACCTTAGGAGCAGCGACATGTTTTTGGTGAGCCAATGAAACTGAATCAGCTCTTAACATGAAGCAGACCAATAGGCGTGACGTACCAGGGTTCTGAAATGGTGCATCCAAGCAGCATGTACCAGGGAACTTTTTATGCAAACGGGGTGGTTAGAGCTGTTGAAAATGCACTCCCAAATCTCCAGAATCACACACACAGCTATAATCGTATGACACACAGCTATAGCCCACCTTATCTCCGCCAAGACGATGGACAACGTCGTCAACACCACAGATATAGCCTACAGAAGCATCTTTTCCGAACACGAGGTTTATGCCCCTCTGAAACAAATGCAAACATGGGAAGGATGAGTTGGATGGGAAGGACTTAGGAGCAGGAAGAAGAACAACAGATTCGAGTGTTTACCTGAACAGAAGCATACTCGCTGCTAATTTTGTCATTGAACCGATCATACTCCTCTGTTCAGATGAAAAAGAAGCCGTTCATTAGTCACAGCAAACAACAAGACCTCAGAACAATAAATGGCACCACGGGGCACTCACTCTCACGATCCTCAAAAGCATCGCCACTGTAGGACCTGCCATGGTGTTGGGCAAAGGCTTTGACTACCTGGTAGTGTATGTCGTCATTGGACTCCGCCTCTCCGACAAGCCCCATGTAGAAATCTGAATTGTCATAGTGCTTGCTCGTCAAGGGATACGGGCTCAAATAAGTTTGCCGTAACTTCCTCCTCAGATTATCATCGTCATGCTGCAGCCAATTGTCCCAGACCTTTTTGTAGGTCCCCACCTGGCAAGAAGTTTGGGATGTTAGATGCAACAACTATAACCATCAATGCAGCACAATCAAACAAGAATCATACCATGTCATGTTGGACTTCCTCAAGCCCATCGACCACACGACCCTCCTCATACTTGTAGAGTGTCACAGTATCATCTTCCCAGGCAGAGAAATGACTTTTTAGAGAGCGTGCAACACATCATGCAGTCCAAACACACAACACTATCATACCTTTTACCTGACCATAATCATCACGACTGTTCTCGGTCTCAATGCCAGTAGGCACAAAGAACGATTCCTCATAGTCACCTGCAGTAACAGATTGGTGTGTGATAGACAGGTAAGTCATGGCATTCAAAAACTGCAGTCACACATAAGAGTGCAATAACAAATAAATCAAAGTTATACCTTGGAACTGAGGCAGGGCATCTCCATTTCCTCCATTGATGATGCCAAAGACAAGGATCTCATACAAAGAAACACGGCTGTCTGGGTTGTTGCATTTGATTTGGAACTTAGCAGCATTTGATGAGACTGGCAGTAAGTTCATCGTCTTGACCGTGCCATCATTCGAAACAATTGTGTCACCCCATTCAAACGGAATTTCCGATCCATCAAATCCAGCCCACAAAGTAAGCTTGGACTGGGGGCACTCTTCGCCGTTCCTCCACTTCAATTCGATTGCTTTGAGCGGATTGGTTGATTGAACGCCGTTTTCATGTGATTCAAGTTGTATCTTGAAGTCCACGCTGGGGGGTATCATGTTTGAAAAAAAGTCATTGTAATCCACCTCCATGAAATCCTGGTTATGCCCTGAGTGGCAATTGTATACAGCTATGTCACGATCACTTTGTTTGTCCAGGCACTTGTTCCTCCCCTCATTCTTAATCCCATGAGTGGCATACTTGGTCCATCGCTGTCTGCTATTGCCACTGTCGCACGTGGCCATGTAAACTTTGTCATTGCCTCCCTGAGATTTTGCTTCCATGCATTTGCTTTGACTGTCATGCATTGACCTGATCAGTTTGGTGCTTGGTTCATAGTACCACTTCTGGTTGTTGCCATTATGACAATTGTATGCATGAAGGTAATTTAAGTCACTGCCGGTATTCCAATCCACACAATATTGCCGACTATCGGACCTAATATTAAGTCTCATTGGATATCCCTTGGTTCCATCCCTGGACTTCCACCAACCTGAACTACCAGACATACTTCTGTCAAACAGTTTGGACTTGCTGTCCTGTGTTGAACCGTCAACACCAGAAGTAACACCTCCAGAACTTCCACCATATTCATACACACTTGATGCTCCCGTATCAATGCCGACCTCCTGCTCCCTAACGAAAGGGAATGGTGATTTCTTGGGACCAGAGTTGTATAGCCTCTTGGAGCACTCGAACATTTCCTTGGCAATCTCGTCTGCAGCTTTGAAGCCAACTTTTGTTGCAATCTGATCTATCTGGACATATGTGTGTCTGAACACAACACGAAAATGAGAGGATTGGGTTAGAATGGAACAAACTGATTAACAGGATGTTGGCTCTATGATGCCTTAAGAAGAACGTACCCGCCTTGAGCATGACATACATCCCTGGAAGATGGAATGAGAAGCAAGTGTAGCAAATTGAGCTATACTATCATGATCGCTTGTTATACTAATATAGTAGAGTCCAGGAAACTGACTTACGAGATCGTGCCACCTTCCCAGTGTGGAACATCTATACACAACAAGAACAACATGCACATTTAGAAGACATGACCTGTTGACACAGCATAATCTGGGATCGTTGAAAAGTACTCACCTCCAAACTCCACATTTCGAGAGAACAGCCTCAGTGTCCTGTCGCACCATGCTTGTCTATGACCACTTCGGTATTCAATATAGTTATGGTTGAGGGGGACCTCTGTGCGTGCCTGTTGCACGTCGGCATGGTTGTAAACTTCGTACACATCTGGAGCTTTATGGCCCAGGAAAAGCCACAACAGGGGAATGCAGTCAGGAAGACAATCGGCTTGAATAAGCTGGTGCGACAAAGTGCACATACCTTCCGTGTGAATGTAAATGTTGTCATCTATCTTTCCATTGTTAGGGTCGATCTTTAGATGAATGATGAATGATGGGGACAGAACAGTGTGGGCTGTGAGGCTGAGTCGAGTATAGCAGGCATGCTCCATCCATCAACCGTTTGTACTTACATCATCAGAGTAGAAGAAAAGAACCATGTCATCTTTTCACATAGCGGGGAATCAAGCAGTCAAGTCAGTTTTACCAAAGCCATGCGAACCGCTACAATCACCAAAGTAACTTACAAATCGACATTTTACCAATGCATCCCATCAAGATCTTGCACTGTTTCGCTTTGGCTACCACTTCGTCACTATAAAGGTGTCGTTGATTCTGTTTCAGGGGCTGATTCCGCTTATTAGCGCGAGACTGGATTGGGCCCAAATGACGGTGCATACCGTCATGGTCTCCATTCTGGAAGACGTCGTGCAACTTAGTGAAACGGTCAAAATGGCTTTGAGCACGATGATTCCCCTCAAACCGACTGCGAAGAATCCGCCGGTGCTTTAACGCTTCCTTGTCCTTTTGGCGGGTCTCGGAAGATGCCATGCGATCAGAAGATGTGGCCTTGTTCCAATTCGAGGCGGAAGGCAGGACATCCATATTGATCTTCTGCGATGTTTGTGCCTGAGAAGCGTCTTGGAGACGTCGGCGATAAGTGCTTGTCTTATCCGCCATTGACCCGCCTTGATTTTCTTCGATTGGTGTGCTGGCTGGGAGTGGTTCCTTCTTCATCTGTTCCGTCTCATTGGTCTCTCTCGAGGAACCCTCCAAGTAACTGATCATCTGTATACGCAAGGAGAATCAAGGTAGAGTAAGTTCACTGCATATCAAATCAATCATGTGCAAAATTAAAGAAGAAACACATCACGGTCGCAAGTGCCAGTTTGCCTCACCTTAGGAAACAGTTCCAATGCCCTGTTAATTTGAGCCATCGCGGACTGATAGTTTGTCTGCAGGTGAGTTGACCAGCCATTGGACTCCTCCATATCTCCATACTCTTGTAGGTCGGCAAACATGGCTAGTGATTTCACTTTGGATTCTTCCATCAAGTCAGCACTGCCACGGATGGCATTTGCGGTGGCTCTTACCAAGTCTGACTTGTCCCCATTGATCCGGGCGTCAGCAACCTGGGTCTTAAGTGTATCCAGAGAGGCAACTGCCCTCAACTGAAAGGACTCAATTGAATTAGCATGAGCAATGAGACCGTCTTCTTTTTCGGTGATGGTATTGACAAGGTTGGAGTCGGCGTCCGAGTTGGGATCCAAAAAGATGTCTTTCGATCCATCAGCAAGAGCAACCATGTCTTGGTGATCAGCAGTGGTAATGGTACCAGTATTAGTGGCACCAGGAGAACCCTCACCCATGGGTACAGGAAGGACATCTTCAGCCTTGGCAAGATTCTCGACCAAGAGTGAGAGTCCGAGCAGAATGGTCAAGATCGGCTTGGCATTGATCTTCATCTTGAGGGTTTCTTTTTCTTTTTTCTTTTCTTTTTTGTAGTAGTTTTGTTTGTTTGTTTGTTTGTTTGTTTGTTTTGGATCCTCTCAACTTAATTACAACTTCTTTGGAGATCGATCAATACGATACAATCCCGACGGCGCGATAAACAGCAGTGGCAAGAGCAACAGCAACGGCAAGAGAAACAGCAGCAGCAAGAGCAACAATTAGTCAACCGAAGCTCTGATCAAGGCAGTGGTATTCAGTATCAGTATTGCTTGTCTTTGTCTTGCTTCTCCTGTTGATTGCAGTGTGGTAAGCAACAAAAGATTGTGGGATGCTTTTGATACTCGACGATCTGGGCCGAATATATATTCCGCCACACAGACCAGCGGTCCTTTCTCGCCACAGACGAAGCGATGGATGCAGGGAATGTTCCACTGAGATGCAGGGAATGTTCCACAGGTATGCAAAGATATAATGGAACGGTTTGTGAAGATTTAAAAGGGCCAGAAAGCTGCACAGATGCTAGCAGAGGGTTTCCGAGCAGGTAGAAACCAGCATGCAGAATGTTGCGCTGGGAAGTAAAGATTTAGTGGAACGGAGGCGAAGATTTAAGGACAGTGACGGGAAACTGCATAGATGCTGGCAGCGGGGTTCCAAACAGGGTTGATGTTGCTTGGTTGCTACCAGAAGCCCTCGTGTACCATCCTTTCTAGCTGGAAAGTTGGTTTTGAACTCTGGACTACATCAAATTTCCTTTATCACTACTACATGATGTTTTATTGTAGAGTAATAGTATCTGTCCGTGAGTGAATGGTGTGTGGAGTGTTTAGTGGTGTGTAGAGGAGCCGAGCCGAGTCGAATCGTCAAAATGAGAAAATTGAAATGATGAGCTACAGGCTGCATCCCTGTCTGTGTGCCGTGGCTTCCTTGTACCGCACTAACTAGCTAGCTAGCTAGCTAGAGTAGAGCTATGCATAGCTGGTGTCAGTTTTGCTTGTTCCGTGTCTATGGCTTTTTTGCTTTAGAAGGTACCGTCCCATCCCGTCTTTGTATGTTGCTTATAGTACATACATACATACATACATGGCTGCATAATATCATGTTCAGCATGTTCACTCAGGGCTGCCGCACTTGTGTAAGTAAGAATACGTACCGTATTTAGCTACCGTACAGTGCAGCCAGTATAGTACAGTGCCATACCGTACGTATCTGCTTTGCTTCCCCCCTGTTACAGTAGGATGGATGTCCATTCTTGCTTTTGGTGTCTCTCGATCAAGGCAGGCAATTCGTTGCTTGCTTCTTTCGGACCACAGCCATGGCTGGCAGCCCCGAACCCGTGGTGCTCTGCGTTTTGGTTACTTCCATCGTTCGTTCGTTCGTTCGTTCGTTCGTTCGTTCGTACCTTTAGCGTTCAAAGTGTGGTTTCGTGTTGCACTAGTCCGCTGCACTGCACTGCACTGCACTGCACTGCACTGCACTGCACTGCACTGCACTGCACTGCACTGCACTGCACTGCTGTCCAATACAAGCTCTATATTATGGGCCTACCGTACCGTACTTGTTACATGTAGCAAGGGAGTGATCCAGGTGAGCCGGTTTCGAGGCTACAATACCGGTATGGTACCGGTACCGGTGGTCTTTTCACCAGGTTCGGCACCGGTGCCGTACAGGTATAAAGTCGGTTTTGGTCCATCGCTTTGAGACATCAGCGATACTATAGCAAAAACAGTACAATATCGGAAACCTTCTGTCTCACTCTCTATATTCTGAGTTAACGGGACTCAATAATGGACCAAATTATTTAACTATCTCACAAAAAGTATAACAAAAATGAAATACACGTTTAACATAGGGTAGGTTATGTTAAATCATGTGGTCAGTATGGGTAACATGCTATGAGTCAATGGTACTTGAGGTCGATTTCGTATTAATCTACTTAGGGGTCAATCGGACATTGAGACAGTCATTTGCTTATAGACGGTTTTGGTCCATTTTTGGGCTGTAGGGCTGGTACACTTTCTACGTGTCTCACCCACTTCCTTTATTAAACTCGTACAGTAGACTACGGTAGCCGGAGCACTGACCAGCTGTGTAACTTTTATTAAGCATTCCAACCAGCTTATTGCTAAAGGATGCGTCTGTGCGGTCTGCCGTTCGTCCGAGTCTGTGATGGTGTTTGACACTTGGTTGGATCGAGACCATGACCAACAACAACAACAAGCCGTTGTTGTTTCTACACTAAACAAGGGTATCTTCTAGCTAGTAAGTAAGACAATAATACTATGGGCAACCAACCATCCGGCCCCGGAGGCCAAGGAGGTGGAGGAGGAGGAGGCAGCCACGGACATCAACACCATGGAGCTCCAGATCCTCGCAGTGGCCGCAGTGGCAACGGGTACGGGTACAATCTTCCTCCTGGCGGCGTCAGTCACTCGTACCATGGCACCACGGCCACGGCGACTCCGCAAGATCCGACACAACAACTCCAACGTTCGTCGAGTGATGCCAGCATGACCATGCTAGATGAAGGCACTAGTAGTAGTGCGCCCGTGGATCCGGCGACGATTGAATCCTTTTTGAATGACGATACGGTCCCGACTGTATTTCGCTGGGAACACGGCGGTCGTCAAGTTTACATTACGGGCACATTCAATGGCTGGTCGCGTCAAATTCCCATGCATCGTTCCGGTAATGATTTCACGTACATTCACAATTTGAAACGAGGCAAACACGCCTTTAAATTCATTGTCGATGACGAATGGCGCTTTGCACCCGATCAACCGACCGTGGCCGACATTGAAGGCCGCATCAACAACTTTATCGATGTCACTGACTTTAAAGCGTACACGGGAGATCGAGAATTCGAAAAGGAAAAAGCGGCGGCGGAATATGGATCGTCTCATATCGATACCGAAGCGTTGGCGGGAGAAGACAAGGATGCCAAAGAAGGAAAAGCCAGTACTACTACTACTGCAGAAGAGGACGACCCCAAAGACAAACCCGATCGCGACGGAGAAGTCTTTTCGAATACCATGCCCGATATGGACGACTATACCAAAGAACCACCGCCGTTGCCACCGCATTTGCGACATATCATTCTCAACAAACCACCCCAGTTGCAAGATACCGCTGCCTTGCCTGTTCCACAACACGTCGCACTCAATCATTTATATTGTACCGCCATTAAAGACAACATGATGGTATTGGGAATCACACAACGATACAAGACAAAATTCGTTACGACCGTCTATTACTCACCTTGTGCTTCCAAGTAATTATCTAACTAAATCTATATGTATCTATAATAAGTGTCTTTTTGTTTACATACATGCAATCATTACATGTAACATCATCTTCTTGTATGCTTAGTAGTTGACATAGTTGACATTGTATGGTATCTGGCTCCCTTTGATCGTACCGCCCGCTTCTTGTCTCGGGACATCTATCTTCTTGATTTGCCGCCCGTCGGGGGAACTCTAGAGGGAATAGGGGCACGGGAAGAATCAGCAGAGTCAATCGGAGCAAAGGCTGGGCGACCAAGACTGATACGGGTTCGTTGGGGGCGGGGGGCAGCAGAGGGAAGGAAAGCCATGGATAGAGGATAAATCAGCAAGCTCGGGCACACCGTGATTGTGAGTCCAGTGTTGGAGCAGGAATAGGCATAGTGGAGACCAAACTTTTTCTTGCTGCTCCGGAGGGGTCAGACTTCTCAGATGCAACAGAGGAATGAAGCCTTCCGTTGTTCTGGGGCATCACAGTTTTGCATTTTGCTTGCTTGGGTCATGACATAGCAACAGGAGTAGCCATGCTAGCTAGCTAGGCAGACAGACAACATTATTATTAGTCTTTACCACAGTAAAATTACAAAGACTTGGCTGTTATAGTTCAAAGGGACTGCCCCTGCATTCCCCGGAACAATTGCATAAGCTGCATCCAAGCCTCCTCTCTTTCGCTAGCTAGCTTGTTACATCCTTCCCACGTCGAAAGAATTGTCACTCTCGCTTTCGCCGGAAGAACCCAAAAGCTGATGATGGTGTTTCTTCTCCTTCTTTCCAAACAATCCTTTCAACTTCTTCCCAACACCCTTCTTGTTCTCGCCCTTTGAAGAAGAACCCTTCTTGTTGTACGGATCAAACTCTTCCTCACCCTTCTTGTTCTCACCCTTGGAAGAAGACTTCTTGTTGTGCGGATCACACTCTTCCTCCCCATCGTCCTCGTTGGGATCAAAACCCATGGACGAGCTGCTAAACTCGTCGTGAACCTTGTCCTTGAGTTTGCTTAACTTGTTCTTGAGAAACTTCATTGCCTTGTTCTTCTCTTTCTTCTTGAGAGGTTTTAGGTCGTCGTCACTATCGTCACTATCATCGCTGTCGTCCTCCTCCTCGTCATCATCGTCCACAACGGGGCGTCTAGTAGGAACTTCGTCATTCTTCTCTGGTTCTTCATCCTCTTCCACGCGTTTCCCCGTGCGAACGCTGATTCGAGGTCTAGCCTGCCGCGACGACGATCGAGTTCGTCGAAGAGGCTGATGGGCCGAGTTACGAGGTGATCGACTGCTCCGACGACCCGCGTTGGACCGTCGGGGGGAACCGGGTGGAGTCAAACTCTTGCCCGTCATGTTGGATGGCAAGTACACAGAGCCTGCATCATCATCGCTATCGTCTTCCTCCTCTTCGTCCTGACGTCTACCAGCCTTCTGCCGAAGTCGATCCTGCAATTTTTTCCTGCGTTCATGTCTGCTCAAGTCACTTTCGTGACCATGACTTCGGAACGAAGCGTCGTGGGCGCCCGCGGATTGGCGACCCAAATTGGGAACGGAGGCGTTTTGACTGTCAAACACGGAATCGAGTGTCAAACTCGTGCGGCGTTTGCCACGCGAACGGCCATCTCTGCCTCTCTCTACTCTATCACCACGCTTTTGACGGGATTCTCTTCGCTGGTCGGGACTGTGGGAGGAGGGTCGCTGGTGGGACATGCCCATGGCGCCAGGTAAATAACTTCCACCGCTATCATCACTGCGTGCACCCTCGTCTTCTTCATCATCGTCGCCGTGGCCATTGGTTTTACTAACGTTTTCCATTTTGAACACACCCGAGTTGTTCAGGCTGCTTTCACACGCCACCGCCCGATTGAAGGAAGAGACACTGTTCATACTGGTCGGATCAAATTGGTACATGGTGTCGCCACCACCGTCCGTAGCTTCACTTGCCGAAGAATCATGACCATCATCATCTGCACCCAAACGAATGCTGTTCTCCATATCAAAGACAGTGGCCAAGGTCATACTTTCACGTGTGGTCATTGTGATACTTTCACGTTTGGTCGTTCCGGACGGAGGCGCCAATGGTTTGATTATTTGCTCCTTTGGCGTTGGTGCGGGCGTTGTTGGCTCTGCTGCTGGGCGACGAGCACCCTCTCGGCCCGAAGGAGCCGCCGTGCGACGGCCACGCTTATCGGGGTTATTGCTGTCACGGTTCCCCCGTGCGGGAGACAACGACCGAGCTCCGTTGGAAGGGAACTTGGATGTACGGGCTTGTCGTGCCGGCGAATGTGATGCAGGGCGTTTGCCACCGTGGACGGAACTCGAAATGTCGTCGTCGTCTACCTTTTCCTTGATATTGTTGTTAACCGATTCTTCTTTGGTGGCCTCGTCGTCAGTTCGAGTTCTGCAACGAGTTCGTCTCGCACTAGCAGAACCCCGCCGCCGTCCATTTTCGGGACTTGCTGATTTTTTATGTTCTTCGGCTGATGGCGATGTCTTTCGCAGTCGTCGCTGTTGGTCGGGTGAATTGCTTGATCGATTGCCCGGACGATGATCTGAGCCTGGACGTTGATCTGATGACTTATCTTCGATTTTGCCATCAACCGAACGTTTCCCACGGCCACTGCGATTATTTTCCCCGTCTGTCGACCGTTTTCCGCGGCCACTGCGATTATTTTCCCCATCAATCGAACGCTTTCCGCGGCCACTGCGATTATTCTCCCCGTCAGTCGACCGCTTCCCGCGACCACTGCGATTATTTTCCCCATCTGTCGACCGCTTCCCGCGACCACTGCGATTATTTTCCCCATCTGTCGACCGTTTGCCACGACCACTGCAATTTCCGGGAGACGTGCTGGTGGATTCGGGCATACTCCTGGTTTTGCGCATGGGCCGCGAGGAGGAGTTATTAGTGCGAGGCGGATTCTCTCCGTGCGAAGAAGAAGCAGTACGTTGAATCATCCGCCCCCCACCACTGCGATCGACACTTTTGCTTCGAACATTGCTTCGTTGCGACGTGGAATTCCGTCGTCCACTTTCAGAAATACTACTACGTCGTCCACTTCCGGAAATACTGCTACGTCTCCGCCGTTGATGATGATTGGGTTCTGTAGGATTGTGATTCAATTCGGATGCGCTCAGACTCATGTCCAAGCCATTTCCTGAATCTCCCAATAAGGAATGATTCAGTAGAGATTCGGCACGAACTCGCAGTTTGCTGGGTTTTGGCATGGGTGGTTTTCGAGGTCCTCGCTCGGGTGTATTGTCATTCTGTTGTTCGCCAGAAGGTTCAGTAGTGCCCGAATCCAGTGACGATTTATTGCGGCCTGATCTCGTTCTTTGTGGGGAGGGCCGTCCTCCTCTGGACCCTGTTTTCGCGGGCTTGGTTTCCTCTTCTTTCATTTGACTAAAATCAGCTACAAACGATTCTTCCTTTTTCTCGTCCTGAGGAGTGGTGGTAGTGATGGCGTCCTTTTCATCATCGTCATCGAAGGACAATGGAGGTGCCATGGGTATATCGCGAATGGTTGGTTTTTGTCGGGATGGACTGAGCAATTTTTTGCTGGACTCGGACAGCTGGGAAACGGAGTCTTTGGGTCGTCTGGAAGGAGACTTGGGATTGCTGCTGACTTTTTCCTTGGCAACTTTGCGCGTTGGACTGGCTACTTTTTCTCGTCGTCTCGTGGGACTTTTGGGGATGGCCTCTTGGTTCGAATTCAATTTGCTGCCATTCAAAGTTTCCTTTTTCCTGACGGGACTTTTGGGGGTATCCGTCGTTTCCTCCTGATCATTATCATCATTACTACTGAGTGGATTGATGGCTACTAGCTTGGAAAACGAGGCAGAACATCCACTGGCAGTTTTCTGCAGGGGGCTTTTACTTCTCGCACATTTTCTCGAAGGACTTCGGGGAGCATTGGAGGGAAACCGTTTGGCTGGACTTCGACTGCGAGACTCGTTCTTGGGGAACCGAGGAACAGTGCGGGTAGTGCTGCGAGCCTCGCGCGTGGTAGTAGATGTACTGCCTTCGGCCATGATACCCGTACGCAGCTCGCAAACAGCTAGCTGGCAACAGAGGCAGGTATACTCAAACAATTATCTCCTGATATGCTATATACAGGAAAGACCAAGCATCCCCTCTTTTCTCAGACTTGACTGAATAACTTGTCTTGCGAGTTGTCACCGGTGATACAGGTACGGTAGGTTCTCCTGTCTTGGGTATATACCCCTTGATATTGATAATCAGCTTTTAAAACTAATAATAGAATTCTGTAGGTAAGGGGTAGCAGCAGCCAACTAAACTAACACAGATAATGGTGGCTACTACCTCCTATGGAACCGGCTATGGTGTCCCGACTAATGCTGCTCTTGGTTTCACCGGGAGCTTGCCTTTTCGGTTGTTGAACGGTGGTACCGGTACCGGTACACTGGCACCACAACCCCTGCGGTACCTTCTTTTACAACTGCCAATCTGACCTTCCCCTTAATATCTTGCCTCGGTTGGGTTTTAAACTTTCCCGGCTGAGGGGGCCAACTCTCTCCGCCCCAATGTTTGTGGGGGTTATCGGTTTAGGGTAGCGGCACGGTGGATAGTCGTACTCAGAGTAGCCTTAAAATAGAATTCTATTTAGATTCTTTTACAACTGCCAATCGCGCTTAATTCACGACGTAAAAAAACCCTTCTTCAGTCATTTCGGCCATTCGATGCAGTAGCCAGCAGGGCAGCAATGCACTACAGTCCTAGCTAGGCTCCAACAATTTCTTCATCCACTGACCAAACGAGTTGTACTGCACCGTACCAACGGCACCGTTGCGTCATTCCACCACTCCTTAGAGATGCCACTGCTGTTGTCTGTGATGATGGTAGCAGCAGTCATTTCATGTGCAGTGCAGTAGTCTTCCCCAGGTGTGCATGTAGTTGTGCTACCTAATAATTGTGCAGCAGCAAATCCACAAAAAAGAAGAAAAGATTCATCCAGGAGAAGCAGTGAGTGAGTGCCAAGACTGTTACTCCTCCATGAAGACCCAACCATCGTTGATGGATGGGGATGATAAAAAGGGCAAAGTGCAGACAGTAATTTAAAAGTCGCTTATGCAAGAGAAAAACCAAAAACGCAATTACAATACATGTACGTTCCACTTGAAAAACAGATTCAAGGTTGCTGCAATTCTAATTCTGCCTATGACAGTTTTGCCTTGACAATTTCAATCCGTTTCAGGCAACTCTTGGTGTCAGAATGATCTGATCCCAAAGCTTGCTCCCGAATGGCAAGGCACTCCTCAAAGTTCGATAAGGCTCCAGAACAGTCACCCATACTTTCCAGCACTGAACCAATGCTGCTGTAAGTGTCTGCCACATTAGGATGATTCTTGCCCAATGATTCCAATTCAATGGCAAGACATTCTTCATACTCTTCCAAAGCACCTTTATTGTCACCCATATATACCAGAACATGGCCAATCATGCTGAGTGTGAGTGCCAATGAATGATGATCCTTGCCATATACTGACACGTCAATGGCAAGAGCTCCCTCATACTTTGTCAAAGCATCTTCATATTTACCCATACTGTTCAGCACAGAACCAATACCGAGAAAGGTGGATTCCACATCAGGATGATTCTTGCCCAATGATGGTAATTGAATGGAAAGAGCTTTCTCATAGTTTGACAAGGCACCGTCATTGTCAAAAATATCATGCAGGAGAGAGCCAATATTGAAGTAGCTGAATGCGACATGAGGATGATTTTTTCCTAACACAGACAGCCTTATGCCAAGACATTCTTTATAATTTGCCAAAGCACCATCATTGTCACCCATCGCTTCCAAAGAAGAACCAATATAGTTGTGGCTGGCCGCCACATCAAGATGATTCTTGCCATGTACCGACAACTCATGGCAAACATTCCTCATACTTTGCCAAAGCACCTTCATAGTCACCCATCTCTTGCAGGACAGAACCAATGCTGTGGTAGCTGCTGGCAGTATCGGGATTATTCTTGCCATGTACGAACAACTCAATGGCAACACACTCCTCATACTTTGCAAAGCACCTTCATAGTCACCCATCTCTTGCAGGACAGAACCAATATTGTGGTAGCTGTTGGCAGTATCGGAATGATTGTTGCTCAACACTGACAGTTGAATGGTAAGAGCTTCCTTGTGCTTGCCAAAGCACTGTCATAGTCACTCATACTTTCCAGAACAACACCAATACCATTGTATGTGGTTGCCACATCGGGATGATTCTTGCTCAATGCTGACAGTTGAATGGCAAGAGCTTCCTTGTGCTTTGCCAAAGCACCTTCATGGTCACCATACTGTTCAGACAGAACCAATTTGTTGTAGTGGGCATTCGATGATTTTGCCAATGCAGACAGTCTAATAGCAAGAGCTTCCTTGTGCTTTGTCAAAGCATCTTCATAGTCACCCATCTCATTCAAAACAGAACAAATTGCGGTAACTGTCTGCGGTTTCTCTGTGATTCTCACCTAACACAGACACACAAATATCCAGAGCAGTCTCATAGAGTTTCATGGCTGCATCATGTTCTCCATTTGCCAAAAGTATAGACCCAATTCGGTTGCAAAAGTCAACATATTTCTCATCATTGGTGTTTTCTCTAGTCTCCACTAACTGAGCGATGTGCACCCTGCATCCACCCCCGCAACAAGTTGTTCACTTCATTGTTGAGTGCTTGGAATCCGACATCTGACTCTACCTTGTTCAGAATGGCCAGCCTGTCACTCTCAACCGAGGACTTGGCATTTTGAACTTGGGTGTTGCCCAGAGCCTCATAGAGAGCATCAATTCCTTGTCCATCATTGATCACATCCTGCTCTAGATACTGCCTCTCCTTGGGTGGCATGACAATGTCCACCTTGCACCCCTCGACAGTGCGAGCTGTAAACATTTCAAAAATGCGCCAGACTCGAGTGATGTAGATGGGTGCTTTCCAGGGAGCCATCATGGCCAGCAAATGACCAATCTTTTTGACGCGTTCTCCAAAAATGGCAAAGAAGTCAAGTTGGGTAGAATCAGAAATCATTCCTGATTTCTGCTGAGTTGTATTTTGCACAACCCTGTGCTGATTGACACAGAGGCAGCAGATCCAGATATAGGTTCTCTTTGGATTGAGGTTGTTTTGGAGACAGAAGTCTGTTAGAGTATCCACAATATCTCCAATCATGTAGTCCCAGGAATAGCTGAGCATTTGAGTTGCCTCTCCAACATGGTACTCTCCTTGTTCCAGACAATGGATATAGGCAGCACCCATTTTCCCATCGACGGGGCAAACAGTGTCTGCTCCCTTGTTGCGGATGACTCCAGGAGGATCTCGTAGATCCTCAATGTCGTAGACTTTGGAGTCTTTGGAGAGTGGAGTTCCAGTTGTGGCATGACTGGCAGCTTCGACTTCTTCCAAAAAGACTTGCTCCAAATAGAAGACACTGACGCCAAGAGTTTCCATTATTTTTGTTGTTGTTGCGGATTTGGGTCTTGATTATAGAGCCACTTGATGTATACTGTACCGTATTGTAGTATCAACACTGTATCAACAGTTACTGCGTATGGTTGACGTGGTCGACGATCTGATCCTCTAGCTAGTAGGGTTTCTAAAGACGTGGTTGCTAATGATGGGTTAAATCGAGTGCACTACTAATGAGAAAATAAATACTAAATAGATACGTTAAGGAGCGAGGGGGGCGAGGCTAGGCAAAGCAGTGGCTGCGGTGGTGGGTGGCTGGTGTGGTGGGCATACGGGGAGAGCAATGAGGACGCGAGCAGGGCAAAACAAGGGGGGCAGGGAAGGGGGGTGCATGGAGGAAAACCAGGAAGGACAAGGGAGCAAAATTAGCGGAAGAGTGCAAGTGCACCATCGGCATCCCAGAGAGAACGACGGTAGCTCATTGTGCCAGCAGGGAATTGGCGAAGGACCGCGCCTCGATCAACGATAGTATACTAGCGCAGCACAGAGCGCAGCAGCCTACCGTACGACACCATACACCACCCTCCTATCCCCGGTACTATTTAAAAAATAGATTGAGAGGAATCGAATCGAATCGAATCATTCGATTATCATTCGACAAAACATCGATGCGACGGTGCGCACATGCCACGGCGCTACTGGTACCGCAAATACGTGGAAATTTGGGGGGATTTGTTTAGGGCTCAGGCCTTCTTTGAAAGGTAGCGCACCCGCTCTGAAAAAGGATTCCAAAAGATCTCATTTGTGAGTTCCCATAAATTTTGCAGCAGCCCTCCGATACTTCTATTTTGTTTCTTGCTTTCATAATAGTAGGCAGTCCTCTGTCTGCTCTGCTCTGCTCTGCTCTGCCATGTCGGAATCAGCGCCCTCTACAACCACTCCTGCTGCAGCTGAAGCAGCAACAGGAGGAGGAGAGACTAGTGCTGCTAATCCCTGGGCAACCGGCTGGAATCGTTTCGTGAATTCCGTGCAAAAAGGAATTTCTAGCAAACAAGAAGAGCTCAAAGCGACACGCGAGGCGAAAGACGCGGGTAAAATTTATGACTATGAGACGAAGGAATGGAAATTTTACTATATTGAAGACGAATGGAAAGCTTTGGAGAGCAAGGCGGGTGAATTTGGCGCCACGCCTTCTACTTCTACAGTAGGCGATAAAAAAGACGAACGCCCCGTCAAAGATCGCAAGTATTACGATATGTTGGAAGCTTCTACCAACGCGACACAAGGAGAAATCAAAAAGGCATACTATAAAGCGGCCCGCAAATGTCATCCCGACAAGAATCCCGACGATCCAGAAGCCGCCGAAAAATTTCAACAATTGGGTCATGCGTATCAAGTGTTGAGCAATGACCAGTCCCGTGCGTATTATGACAAGCACGGACCGCAAGATGCCAATGCCGCCGAAACCAATACCGATCAAGTGGATCCCTTTGTGTTTTTCAATGTCATGTTTGGATCCGCACTGGTGGAACCGTATGTGGGAGAATTGTGGATTGCCCAAACCACCGCGGAAGCCATGAGTGACACGGATGCCATGGAGGAATTCAAGAGTTTGGAACTCAACAATACGGGTGATCCCGACAGTGAAGAAGCCAGATTGGCGGAAGAAGAACGACGCGAGAAGCTAATGGAAAAAATGAAAGAAATGAAAGCCAAAAATGAATGGACACAGAAAAAACGACAAGTCAAAATTGCATTAAATCTCAAACAACGTTTGGCATCGTATTCCGAATCGACCAAGGCTGATTTTATCATTGAAGCAAGACAAGAAGCGGAAAAGATTGCCGGCGGTGCGTACGGGAGTCTCTACTGTATCACGATTGGATACGCCCTCTTGCTGCAGGCGGAAGAATTCCTCGGCAATGAAACGACACTCTTTGGATTGGGAGGATTTGCGGCAAGGACCAAACAGTCGACCAGTGCGCTTGGCACCAATTTCAAACTCATTGGAGCGGCCTTTAGTGCCGCCACGCATGGAGCCAGGGCCATGCAAGAAGCTGAAAACTTGCAAAAGGCAACCATGGATAAAACAAAGGAGGGCGGCGACGGCACCGATGCCGCCAACACCAATAGTGACAAGAAAGAAAAGGCTGCGACCGACGACGACAAGAAAGCCGACGACACGATTGACCCGGAAGCGGCCGAAAAATTGTCCGAAACCGTCGATGCCACGCTGCCCGCCATTCTCAACTTTACATGGGCCATTAACAAACGCGACATTCAACAGACACTGCGAGAAGCCTGTCCCAAAGTCTTTCAGGATGCTTCACCTGACGCAAATCCCAATGCCGCACAATCTGTCAAACAGACCCAACTCCAACGCGCTCAAGCCATGGAAGTCCTCGGGCGAGAGTTTTATACCGTGGGGAAACTGGCCGAACAGATCGCGGTCAAGGCCGGAAAGGAAGGAGGAGACTTTAATGCCGAAGACATCAAGGCACGGGTCACTGTCGCTACCATGACGACCATGGCCAAGGCACAAGGACAAGAAGTCACCGAAGCAGATCAAGAAGAAATGATTCAACAAGCCAAACAAATGAGTGCCGGTGGTGGTCCTCCACCTACTACAGGCGCTCCTGCACCTGCGGATAGTGATGAAAAGGAACTTCTCAAGGAAGACGTCGCCGATGACGGTGTCGATTGTTAGCGAGCGTGGAACAAGTAGCGTGCGTGTTTTGGTTTTGGAGCAGTTGATCTATTGCTAGCTCGACTGGATAGGTACAGTTAGTAGGATGCACTCACTCTACTTGAATGTAGACAGTCACCACTATCCATAGTAGCAAGCGTGCGCATTACATTACATAGAGAGACTCCCGCGTTTTGATGTTTCAAAGTAGTGTAGGTCGTCATCTCTACCGGTTTAAGTTTTTGTCTTTCGTCCACACGGTTACTCGAGCTCTTTCCTGGTGGCATCATGGATAGTTTGCTCCCTCCATCAGTTGTCATCCACCAGCCTGCCTGCATGCGGTGACCCTCATGCAGTTGCACCATGCATTGACTTCCATGAATGAGCTAAAAACTCCTGTTTACTAGTACTTCCATGAATGAGGTCGGTTTCTTTTGCTGAACGCCACACGAAAGATCTATACTGTAGCTCTAGCCAGCTGCCAGTAGCCAACCTATATGTAATTCAACGCGACCTGTGCTCGTGATTCAATATTTCTGAGGCGCGTGTCGGCACAGCCGCAAATAAAGAGAGAAAGGGGGTTTACATTACTCGAGTCTGGTGTATTTTTGAAATGTTTACAAATCGCACTGTCGAGGGGTGCAAGGTGGACATTGTCATGCCACCCAAGGAGAGGCAGTATCTAGAGCAGGATGTGATCAATGATGGACAAGGAATTGATGCTCTCTATGAGGCTCTGGGCAACACCCAAGTTCAAAATGCCAAGTCCTCGGTTGAGAGTGACAGGCTGGCCATTCTGAACAAGGTAGAGTCAGATGTCGGATTCCAAGCACTCAACAATGAAGTGAACAACTTGTTGCGGGGGTGGATGCAGGGTGCCCTCGCTCAGTTAGTGGAGACTAGAGAAAACACCAATGATGAGAAATATGTTGACTTTTGCAACCGAATTGGGATTATCTTGAGCAAGAATGGAGAATCTAATGCAGCCATGAAACTCTATGAGACTGCTCTGGCAATTTGTGATACTGTGTTGGGTGAGAATCATATAGCAACTGCAGCCACCTACAACAACATTGGTTCTGTCTTGGATCTCATGGGTGACTATGAAGGTGCTTGGCAAAGTAGAGGAAGCTCTTGCCATTAACTTGTCCGCGTTGGGCAAGACTCATCCTGATGTGGCAACCACTTTCAAGAATATTGGGCTTGTTTTGGACAAAATGGGTGATTATGAAGGTGCTTTGGCAAAGTACAAAGAAGCTTTGGTCATCCAAGAGTCAGCATTAGGCAAGAATCATCCTCATGCTGCACTTACCTACAACAATATTGGACTCGTAATGATGAAGATGGGTAATTATGATGGCGCCTTGACAAAGTACAAAGTAGTGCTTGCCATTCGACTGTCAGCATTGGGCAAGGATCATCCCGATGTTGCAACCAGCCACAACAATATTGGGAATGGGCTGTATGCCAAGGGCGAATACGAATGGGCTTTGTCCAAGTACAAAGAAGCTCTTGCCATTCGATTGTCAGTATTGGGAAAGAACCATCATGATGTGGCAAACACCTACAACAACATTGGATGTGCTGTATGCAAGGGTGACTATGAATGGCTTTGTCCAAGTCAAGGAAGCTCTTGCTATTGAAGAGGCGGTGTTGAAAAAAATTCATCCTGATGTGGCACGCAGCTATAACAATATTGGACTCGTAATGATGAAGATGCAAGACCATGAAGGTGCTTTGCAAATCACAAGAAAGCTCTTGCTATTCGCTTGTCAACATTGGGCAAGAATCATCCCTCAGTGGCAACCACCAACAATAATATTGGCTGTGTTTTGCAAGAGATCAATGACTGTGAAGGTGCTTTGTCAAATTACCAGGAAGCTCTTGCCATTCAATTGTCAGTTTTGGACAAAGATCATCCCGATGTGGCAAGTAGTTACAATAATATTGGGCTTGTGATGCAGAATATGGGTGACTATGATGAAGCCTTGCTGAAGTTTGAAGTGTGCCTTGGCATTCTAGTTGATTTGTTGGGCAAGGATCATCCAGATGTGGCAACTGCTTGTGGAAATATTGGATCTGTTCTGTGGAGTAAAGGCGACTTCGAAGGTGCTCTGTCAAGTTACAAGGAAGCTCTTGAAATTAGATTGCCAGCCTTGGCAGAACCATCCTGATGTGCAACACCTACAACAATATTGGTTCTGTCTTATATTCTATGGGTGACTATAATGGAGCTTGTTGAAATTTGAGCTTGTCTTGCCATTCTGGAGCCAGTATTAGGAGCGGAACATCCTGACACCAAGACTTGCCTGAAATTACTGGAAGGCGTGAAGGCAAAAATGCAGCAACTTGATTATGACTTGTACTGCATTGATCTAATAAATACAACACGCCACTGATTCCATTACCCCTCCGTACATAGTTTCAACCCTGGGCTGTTTAGAACGTTTTCTTGACTATCTATATTAGGCACAAGCTCCACCTAAAGCAGTCAGATAATGCAGTAGAGTCTTTGAAGGTGACTGCAGCAAACTATAGACTCCAACTGCCCTATTACACTGACTCCCAAAACTATAAGCCCTTGTGGATGTCGAGTCAAGCATGCATTGGCTTCCAGAATGAGGTCTATCAGGGTCGACCACCGGTACCGTTCCATACCATACACTTTTAAAAGAAAGTCTATCCAGGCAGTCTTGGCGGCGATTCGATCCTTAGAACCGGGAGCGACCAAACCCTAACTGCTAGCAAGCCAAGGGCTCATAATGAAGCCTGGCCCTGGCTGCTTCCGTAGATAATCCTTACTCTAACCCATAATAAGTATGGAACGTTGTTAGATAGTCGGGGGGTGGTAAGGAATTATCACGGAAGCCATGCAGCCGGGGCAGGCTTAAGCTTTAGAATAGGTGATTTATTAATTATTGTTTTTATTATTATGTTTTTTGCCAGAACGTCGGTTTTGAATGCGATCTCCATCGACAAGCGGGCCCCGACTCGCTCCCGCTTTTTTGGAACGCCGACGGATCTCTTTTTTGAGCCCCTCAAAAAACAGTATTCATTGCGTCCGTCCTCGTACGACTCCACTCACAACAGCCCACCCCCCATCACCCCCATCCACATTCGCCACGTGCGTTTCCTCTAGCTTCGTCCCCCTCTCGCTCCTCTAATGTATCTCATTTAGCAATTCTTTTTTCTCTCATTTCTATCATTGCTCTCCCGTACGCCCACCACAACCGCCACACCCCACCGCAGCCACTGCTTGGCCTGCGCTCGCCCCCCTCGCTCCTTAACGTATCTATTCTAGTATCATAAATTATTATAGTATAGGAACTTGTTCTGTTTGTTTTTGCTGCATGTTGTCGTGTCGTTGGCAGGCTCGAGTTGCTCGATAGTGCATTAGTAAACACTCGTGCTATATATCGCAGACTCATATCGTCATCCACGGTACATACCCTCGTTTGTCTGCCTTCGCATTACGTGGTTTACTCAGATTGATATTATCATCCGAGTGGAGACCTAGCGTAGAAACACATACATCGAAGGTCGGTTATATATCCTCAATTCGTAATAAACATTATGATGGTAAACTCTTGCGGTGTCTGTAGTTGTTCTTTGCCTTGAAGCTTAGAGTTCTCTTAGCGGTTATAATGAAGAAGAAGTATGCTGCTGCTCTACGGTCATGCTGGTCAAGCGGTGAAGATGCTCGCTCTCTTAATGTGAGCGTGCACTGAGAGTGCGTAGCGACAATTGTGAGTTGCTTCGACTCTTGTTCTTGTTTTTGTTCATCTTGCCCGGTCTTGGTCCATCGAACCTAGAGTGAGTCGCACGTCGATGTGCGTGTTGTCTCAATCTGATTGTGAAAAATGGTAGGGCTGACGTGGTATTGTTGTGTGCCATGTCTGACGTAGGTCATGACCATGTGGGAGAGGCAACTCATATGCTCAGTTATTCTTGGAATTATTCGATTGGGGATATTGTGGATACTCTGAATGACTTCTGCCAACAAAATCAGCTTGACCCCAAAAGGACCTACATCTGGATCTGCTGCCTCTGCGTCAATCAACACAGAGTCGTGGAAGGAGCCGCACTCAAAGAAACGGGGGTCATCATGCCGGCCAAACCACAGGTCGATTTCTTTGCTCTCTTTGGGGAACGAGTCAAAAAGATTGGACACTTGTTGGCCATGATGGCTCCATGTAAAGCACCCATCTACATCACTCGAGTTTGGTGTATATTTGAAATCTTTACGGCTCACAGGATGGGTGGTTGCAAAGTGGATATTGTCACGCCACCCAAGGAGAAGCAATGTACTCGAATCACTAGATCTTGGGATTGTTTGTCATACTAATAGTA